AAAACGCGGGTTTGGGGTCCTCCCCCCAAAAATTGTTCCATTTTTGAAGCGCTAGGACTGCAATTCTAGGACTTCAATTCTTACAAAAATGGTTATCATTTCACACAAACAATTACTTTATTACGCAAGTTTTACCTGAAAATATCAAAATTTGTGGAGGGGAGGGGGGGGGGGTTGGCTAGACGTCACATCTCGCAAAAAATGCCAAAATTAAACCTAAATTTCACCATTTTCCTTCGGTAAATTGTTTTAAAACTTTGCACATTTCTTAATATCGGATAAACAAGCTCAAGATCCTTTTTTTCTTAAACTTTTAATTAAAGGGAATAATCTAAGAAACGTTCCATAAATTTTTTTAAAATTGAAGAAAAAAATCATTATACAAGAACTGATCATTTGTGCAAATTTTAAAATTTTTAAAACGACCGGAAAAAGACAAAATTTGAGCTTAATTATCCAAAGCACGCTGCCACCATGCAACCTCGTTCCCAAGGATTTCTTATGAGGACGAGGCGAGGCAAGAGAAAAAAAAGCCCTGGGAACGAGGTTGGTCACCATGGTAACGAACTTTCAGCGCAAAAGTAGTTAATTACAATGTTCAGGAGAGCATTGTTAATGTGTCGAATAAATTTCGTCTTCGTGTCATGTAAAATGAAGAAGCAGGAGTTTTCTGAATACAAAAGTGTAGTATAATGCAAAAACCCTATGGAGCCACCTTAAAATAGTTTTTTATTATTATTTTATGACCTTTAAACACAGAAATCACTCGTGGTCATTCGTGGTCATTCGTGGTCACTCGTTTGTACTTTTAGACAAGACCTACGACACCAACTGATTCATTGGTTATTCATGAATTTTAACGACATACTGTAGTATCTGCGAATTTCTGCGTTTACAAAGCATAACAAGCATTTCCATGATATATTACCCCCACGAAATTCCCACGAAAACACCAAAAAGCAGAAATACGTCGCAAAACGTTGTCAATACATTGTTCAGCTGTATGACAAACTGAAATCCGAAAATTTCAAAAAACATACGTCGCGGAAAGCCTGGGACCGACAATATTGGTATGCTGCCTCGTATTGGATTTCTACATTTCTGCACGTCGACTTAGAGGGAAGACTTAATATGAAAAAACTTGCTATAAAAGTTTTTAAGGTTACAGGACACCCTTTTTGGCGTTTTGCGGAAAAGCGCTACTGCACGCTCAATATCTGTCCGATTTTCATCAAATTTTCACCAAATGTTCTCCACTGCATGCAAAATATGGTAAAGTTGTAAAATTGACAAACAATAAAATAATGTAAGAGTTATTCAGGAAAATCTTAAATCGCGGTACCGTTACGCTTTTGAGTTGTGCTCCTGCTGGTTTTAAGTCATATTTATGAAAATATCATTTTTATACAGTAAAATAGTTGTTCTAAAAAATAGTGTTCGGAAATTTTTGTTTATTTCGTCATTCCGCTGATATGGCGATTTCTTTGACGACTGCAATATATTTCTGAATTTTTTGAGTGAATTGCTCTTAATTTTTAAAATATCCAAAACACTTTGAAACTGACGTATTTAGCTATGTCCTGTGAAAATTTGAGAAAAATTGGTTAAAACCCGCAGGAGCACAACTCGTTTGAAAATCAGTAATTACCGTAAAATTTTTCGGGAGAAAATTGAATTTGAATATTACATTTTCAATGTTTTTCTTATTGCAGCCAAATGTATTTTACTAAATAACTCTGCGCGTTTTCAACATTTTTCGTTCAAACTTGGTCAGATAGTAGAACTAGTCTAATGCTTTCATTGAAACCAATAAAAAAATTTAAGGCAAAATTAACACTCAACGGTGTTCTGTAACCCTAAATAAAGTTTTGTATGTATGTATGTATGTATGTATCTATCGAAAAGTTTACTTTGACGTTTTTTGTTAACCTGCAATTTAGCTAACCGGATTTCGAACAACCAGCTCCTGGTTTTCATTTACTCGTAGCTGTTATATATATCTCAACAGTCAGTAAAGACTGATTTACATGCAGCCACACAAAAGACAAGATATATGCAGACTATTTCACATCGTCGAAAATGATTTGCTCACGACAGTTCGACCAAATGGATAGGTTTTACTGGTCACTGTAATCACATTAGAAACAAACTTAACATACCTTGTTGCCATAGAAGGACCCAATCATGATGTCCTTGGAGTCGGGCACGAATGTTAGGGCGGTAATGGGATGCGGGTAAACGTTGTCATGTGACCAAACTTCGGTCCACAAAGGCGTGAACTTGGCTCCACCAAGGCTGCAGAATAATGAATTGATGTTTTGTGATGTACTTCCGCTTTCTCGTGTTTTCGACACATGCCAAAGTTTCACACACCCACTGGCGGAGCCCGATACAAAGTGAAGCAAACTAGATGCGTCGCTTTTAACTTGAGAAACGGCTTCGGAATGAGCTTGATGTTCACACTCATATTGTTTAAAATGTAAATTAAACAATAACAGTTCTCCGTTTTCACAACCAAGCAATACATAGTCTACACCAAGAGTAGTAATGCAGGTCACTTTAACAGCTGGTTGATCCAATAGTAACTCAGCCTCTTTATTACTAAAATCTCTTAATTCCACTCTGTTTGCCTGATCAACAAATACAAAACGAGCCTCATCACTCAATATGCAAACCAAACGTACACCGACTCCAGCTTTGGTCGTTGCGAACGTCTCAACTACCCGATAACTCTTCAAGTTCACCAGCGATAATGTTCCTGAACTGCTTCCAGTCAGAGCTAATTTCCCATTTGATTTGATGTCAATTGCAGTAACTATCGAGTCGTCAGAATGACCTGAAGGTGGTAAAATATTTGCAGATTTGCAGTTATTTAAAGTATTCGAGCATAGAACCCTCTTGCATAAGAGCTAACCATTGAGGGAGTACAAGTCGAAGTACAAGTATGCAGGGTGTCAAAAAAATAATGCAATAGCTATGTTCCAGATTTTTACACTTATCACTTCTCAGTAAATAAGTGTTTTATTATATATCAATACTCAAAGAAACGACAAATTAAAGAACAAATGAACGTAAATACACGAAATATTTTATTGTTAAAACGTTAACTGAATTAAACACTGCAGTTACTTAAAGCGAAAGTTTAATAAATTATTAGGCATATCTAAACGTCGCATCTTCAGGTGATTGCGTACGTGATTTGTTTTCGTTATTCGCCGATCGATAACGTATTGTTTCCCTCTCGCGCTGTTGCGAGGGAGACAATCTAATTTCGTCACTCTCACGTGATATGCTCTCGACCAATAAAACACTAGAAAAATGCGACTTTGACTATTGGTATATAATAAAGCTAATTATTAGTGCACATCAAAAATTTACTCTAAGAGATGAATTTCGACATTAAAATTATTAAAAGTGGTCTAGTAGAGCCTATGTTATGTCTGCTTTGAACTAAAGTCTGGTTCACCCAATAGATCATTGAAATCATGCGTCAGTACGAGACGGAAATCGCCATCTGCGGGCCAGCTGTCACGTTATATTTTGCTGTCGCCATTGCATGCATGTTTCATGGAAATAGCGACAGCAAAATATGGCGCGACTGGCGCGCAAATGACAAATCTTATGTTCGTCTAGTTGTATTCCTACTCGTTCTCTAGTAATAGGTTTGATCACCCCAAATCTCTCAGATCAAATATTCGATTCCGACTAATAATTAGCTGGAACACAGCTACTGTATTTTCAGTTCTTGGGACACCTGTATACAGCACGGGCGGCCGTGTTTGTGTCGGTATTTGTATTAGCATTTTACAAGACAATTAGCATACCATAGAATATGTAATTATGTATAAAGGGCTCTATCATGATTAAGCCAGCATCATTTGGAATGCATACTTGTACGAAGATAGACCGGTTTTACTGTTAGATATATCTTAATAAAACATTCTTATAAAAGCACGACGTTACATGGTGTCAGGAGTGGGATCTCCTTCATCAAAGCTTAGTCAAGCTTTAAGCTTTTGACGAGGGAAATGTAATTAAACTGAAGTAAACAGTGTGGTTTTTCCAGTATTATTACTAGAACGTGATTTTTCCCTATCAGGTCGCCCTGCTTCAATTCGTCGCGGACAACGTAATTTAAACAATATTATTCAAATTAACATTAATAAAACTGTTATTTCCAATGCTAATGACTATTTCTACGTTCCAAAACTACTATTGACAAATACGATGTCATTAGCTCCCAAAATTGATGAAGTGAGTTGTTTTGTCACAGAAAAGAGTCCTGACCTTGCCTGTATAACGGAAACATGGCTAAACGACCGTATCTCAGATTCCTGCCTCGATATTCCAGGTTACAAT